TACACTCAGAGAGAGGAAATGTAAATCTTTATTAATTTTGCGGAAATTACAACTGAATTCGTTCGAGAGAACGCGCGTCACTCGATCATGTTGGGATCGTCCTTGCCGCAGTCCTTCTTCAACAATTTCCGATTCTGTCTCATGAGGGCTCGTCTGCGGGCGCCCATTTTCAGCTGGCGCTGCAGCTCCACGCCCGTCTTGCAGATGATCTCGCGATACTCGGTGCTCCAGGGCGGCAGCTTGCGCCGCGACAGAGACGACGTCGACGTGATCTCGTTCTCGTCCTCGAACGACGGCTTGATGCGCTTGGCCTTGGACGCGCCGAGCTTGCCGAGATAGTACTTGGACTCGCACGGGTCGTCGGACTTTTTCTGGCTCCGACTGTGCCGCAGAATCGTGGCGCGTTTCTCCAGATCCGGACGGCGGCAATCGACCTCCGGCTTGTTCGCGTCCATCGGGCAGCTGGCTTTGACCTCGGGCAGTTGAGCGAGGAGGCTCTGCGCGTCGCCTCCTGAAATTATTCAATAAATCGTTTTTATGAGCTCTACTGAAAATACTGCATATGTATCACGACAAAGTATCACTGTATAACTAACCCATCTGATCGAAATCGACTTGATACGTTGATTTGAGCCTTTCTTGGTTGAATTTCGCTATGTCATTGCCCTTGGATACTTTTTTCACGATTGCGAATAAATTTGGATTCTGCTCGTACAGCTGTATCGTACGCAGAATAAATATTAATAATAAGGAAAAATCTCGTATACGTATCACAAGTGTCTTTTAGCGTACCTTTTGCAAGCAAGATTCCGTCTCGTTCAATTCCGGCGTCACGAGGGTATCGGGACACTTGCCGATCTTCACTCTCCCGTGCAAGAGCTTGGCCAGATCTTCGTTGTCCAATTGCGCCACGGCGGACTTGCACTTGGTCTCGTCGGGCAGCGGCTGCGGACATTTGGCGGCGTTTTTTTCGGCGCTCGGCTGGCTGCATCTGGGCTGCGCAGTCGGGGTTTGCGGCCGATCCTCGGTCGTCGTCTGGTCATTCGGGCAATTCGTTCGCGGAGCATCGACGATGGGCTTCGGTGGTTTGCCGAACTCGAGACAATAGGACTCGGGCAGGGCTATGCGACAGGCCAGATCGGTTCGAGGAAAGAACGAGCGACGCTTCGGCCACGCGTAGTCTCTCTTGTAAATCGATATGAACTCTGCCATTGTTGCGACGCGCTCGCGCGAGTATTACGACTCTATTGTAATTTTGAAATGATAGGCCGAAAAATTATGAACCGGATTTCGGAGGATTTATTAGGTTATGCAATAACTCATTGTTACCGTGTGATGATTAATAACGTCTGCAGCAGTCCCAGATGAAGTACACATTGAAGGTAGTTTCAACAGGTGTTGAATTTGACATGTACATAAATTTTTTGGTGATTGGTGAAGATTCGGCCAAGTATTTTTGATTAATCTACATGCAAATATTAAAAATATAATATTTTAGAATCATTCTTTGTAAAGGGTTATGCAAACGACAAAATCGTAGTTGAATATAATTTTAATTTGTTTTATTCTTTGATTATCAGAAGTTAAATTAGTAGTTAGTAACAAATAAATCTATTCATTATGATGCTTTATCATCAAACTATTTTTTTAGAATCTCGTTATCTTTCAAAATTATTTTAAATGTTTAAATTGTAGAAAAACATTACAGTACTATTTGACTTGAATGTGCCGTATGTCACAGATTATGAAAAAATCTTCATTATAATCAGTGGTGGTTTATCGAACACGCCAATCACTCCGAAATTTGAGGGGCGGCAAATTTTGGAATAAATATTAAAATTGTTTATTATATATGTGCATAAAGATCTATTTTTTAGAAGGAATTGTTGCTCAGTTAGGATTTTAAATTATTCCAAATGTTATAAAAAACAATATATAAACAGATAAATCGGTCAGTAAATTATAAAAGAAATGATCATAAACGATTTTTACACGTCCTTCGACTACTGATCCTGTTTATAGTGAAAATAAATTAGTTCGAATGTTGTCTTCCTCGATGAAACAAGACATAATATCAAGAGATAAATTTTAATTATTCAATTTTCGTGACACTAAATAGACTGATTCATCTTTTGATTTCGGCCTCAATATGGATACAAGTGAAGAACAATCTAAGAAAGTTGTCTTAGAAAATAATTCATGTAAACATGACATTGTTGTTTCAGACGACAAACAACAAGTTTGTGATATTTTTCATGAGGCATTTACACTAGAAACAGGTATGAAAACACACCGAAACACAACTCACAATGAAGAAAACGATTTTGCCTGTGACAAGTGCGAAAAAAAATTTGAGTTCCGAAGTCACTTGAGTAGACACCAAATATCGGAACACAAAAGCCGCAAAGATTTTGTGGCACATTTAGCATGCGACAGATGCGAGAAGAAATTTATAAAAAAATCGAGCTTGTTTACGCATCAAAAATTAGCACACAAAGATCGTGAAGATTTCAGGTGCAACAAGTGCGAGAGAAAATTTGATAATAAAACTAATTTACTTAAGCACAAAAGAATATTCCACGAAGTTTTCAAAAATTACTTGTGTGAAATGTGTGCGAGGAGATTTGATACTAAACATAGTTTGCTCTTGCACATAAAGACAGTACACGAGGGTCGCAAAGATTTCGCATGCGATAAGTGCGAGAAGAAATTGGGGAGTAAATCATATTTATTGATACATCAAAAAACAGTTCACGAAGGTCGCAAAGATTATGCATGCGAAAAATGCGAAAAGAAATTTGGGGAACGAGGTAATTTGGTCAAACACCAAAAAAAAGTTCACGAAGGTCGCGAGGATTACGAATGTGACAAGTGCGAGAAGAAATTTGAATACAAATCAAAATTGATTGCACACCAAAAGATAGTCCATGAGGGTCGTAAAGATTTTGCATGTGACAAGTGTGAGAAAAAATTTGGACAAAAAGGAAATTTGCTTTTACACCAAAAAACAGTCCATGAGGGTCGTAAAGATTTTGAATGTGACAAGTGCGAGCAAAAATTTGGGATCAAATCAAATTTGCTTTTCCACAAAAGAACAATCCACGAGGGTCGCGAAAATTATGCATGCGATTATTGCGATAAGAAATTTAGACAAAAACATAATTTACACAGACACCGAAATACAGTCCACGACCGTCGAAAAGATTACGCATGTGATAAATGCGATAAGAAATTTGCAGAAAAATTGAATTTGCTCGGACACCAAAAGATAGTTCACGAGGGTCGTAAAGATTTCGTCTGTGACAAATGCGAGAAAAAATTTGGACAAAAATCGCATTTGCTCGTACACGTAATAACAGTCCATGAAGGTCGGAAAGATTTCGTCTGTGACAAATGCGAGAAAAAATTTGGATACAAATCGAATTTCCTCGACCATCAAAAGACAGTACACGAAAGGCGCAAAGATTTCGTATGCGATAAGTGTGGGAAGAACTTTGGACATAAATCAGATTTGTTAAAGCACCAAAAGTTAGTGCACGAAGGTCGCAAAGATTTCGCATGCGAGAAATGCGAAAAGAAATTTGGAGAAAAATCGACTTTGCTCTCTCACCAAAAGACAATGCACGAAGGTCGGAAAGATTACGCATGTGACAAATGCGAGAAAAAATTTGGACAAAAAAGTCAGTTGGTGTTCCACCAAAGGACAATACACGAAGGTCGATATGATTACGCATGTGACAAATGCGAGAAAGAATTTGGGAATTCCAGCACTTTGAGAAGACACCAAAAAACAGTGCATGAAAGTGAAAAATTTAATTTGGACACAGATCGCATTTGCTCATTTACTAGCACTGTACGTGGATGTCGCAAAGATTACGCTTGCGATAAGTGTTAGAAAAAATTTAGAAAAGAATGGATTATGATTCGGTGGCAAAAAACAGTACATTTTAAGCTTGCTAAAATTTCGATAATAAATGATGATTGACAATTGTTTATATGTATTGATACGTAATATATGTTTTTCTACAATATTAATAAAAATTGTGCTTAAATGATTTTGTCTTCCTTCAGGCTTTCAACAATAATTACACCTTTATACATGTCATTGTGGTGTTTTATTTTTGAATTAAATTTCGCGTACTACTAATTATACTTTTTGTTCGTTTTTTAGGTACTTATTTTTTTGCTCTTCATTCATCAATAAGCCCAGATTTTTTCACGTCTTATTTGGACCGGTGAATGGAGCGAGAGCTTTCTACTGGATTTTTGATAAACCTCACGAGATGATATGCTGAATTGATCAAACATACACTAGTGAAAGATTTGAACTTGTTAAATAGTGATTATTTCTCTAAAAGGAGGTTTGATTGATAGTAACAAGTTTTTGCCGAAAAAACCAAAGTGAAATCCATTGAATAATTTAATTGAAATTTAAGATCTTCAAAATTAGTAAAAGCCCTCATAAATATTTTTTCTTTTCCTCAGTACTTTTATGAATCCAAAATATCATATTAATGCTTTTCGCCTTACATTTCTAATATGTCACTGATCATAATATAAAATGCGATTTTCTTAAAGGTTATATGGTAAGTATAAATATTCTTCAAAGAGTTACAAAATAAAGGTATATATTATACAAAAATTATTTAAATATTTTTTGTTAAAAAGCTAACAATTATTAGTGGCCAATTTTATATTGGCCAAACTACTGTTCAACGTTCAATGATCAGTCGATTCAATACAGATGAATAGTTGAGTTGTCGCTTAGTGATTTTCTCTTTCACCCCCTCAAATCACAGATCTTTAGTTTTGAGCTTTTATTACCGTGGAACGCTCACGTTATTCTTGTGTTATTTCCAACACAAGAATTATTGTTCGGTGACTACCACTGTAAAGAAATCAACTCCAGTGATGTAGTTGCCTTAATTTTTTATTAGCAAAAAGTTGTTTAATTAAAAAAAAAAAATCATTCGCAAAAAGAAAAATTACGAGAAAAACATTAAATTCAATATCGCAAAGTTTAAAATTATGAATGAAAAATTAACGAGGAGTAAATGGCTATTCCTGAGTTTGGCTTGCTGTTCTTGCAGACGTCTCCTGTTCCATTGTTTCACCTTGTGTTTGATTTTCCGCTACACTTTGCATGGTATACGACAAGTTTGCAGCTTTTTTTGCATTTCGCAAATCCATCAAGTACTCTACAACCGTCTGGTTGTTCTTCAGTATATTTCTGTTCGTACTGGCCATCTGAGTTACAGTTTCTGCTAAACTATCTGCATTGGCCAAACAAAGCAAAGAAAAAACAAACGTTTATCAAAAAGTGGGTTCAGATCGAGTGAGAATAGTGATGTTATGCATCGCGTTTACCTAAAGTTTCAGTAAGATCAGCGATCGTTACTTGTTCCCCCATTTTCGGCTTTTTTTTCTTGGAACTCTTCTTAACGCGAACTTGATCATCGTCCTCCATCGCACTTACGCTTCGAGCCCAACAGCGCAGATTTACACAAAATAAGAAACTGACCTATGCGAGTTGCGATACGTGTAATCGCTCGCTGTAGGCAAGAGGTGTACCGTGGTTCTTTTGTTGTGCGTCCTCTGCCGAATTTTCAGCTACGTGTGTGTGAGTGGTAGGGGGCAAACTTGTTGTGATTCTCGATCTTTTCTATCGAACGCGCTTGTAGTGCAGGGCGATTTCGCAGGCCCTCTGCATCCAAGTTGCGTTCGTTTTTGCGGTTGACTGCTGCACCGCTCTCCGTGTTGATCACGAAAAAAACCAATCATCTTGAATGAGTATTATTTTTTTTCAAGTAAGCAATCAATTTGATTTTGTGTTATAAAGTGTCAAGAACGCAAAAATATGTCAACGAGATCATTGCGTTCACGCTCGAGGAGCGTTTCTAGCGAAACTTCTAATTCTTCATGGAGGTGAGCGAAAAAATAATATCATTATCGATAGTCCTTTTTTTCATTATCGTTTGACTGAAATTCGACGTTTCGTAGTCGTAGGTCCGCAAAAAGTGATAAATCCAATGAAGATAATGAATCGGGAGTTGGTTCTGTGAGAGCTGACGACGATATAGCCAACGATTCGTTCACTGCCAGAGAAAGCAGTGACGACGATGCTGGTTCCGGGTCTGATAATAACGATACCCAAAATGATGGAGATTCTTGTAAATAGCTTAATATCTTTTATTTTTTATCTATAATTACATTGATAAATTGTTTGAACTTCATGTACACTCATGCTGCAGTTGATAGTTTTTCCGAAGATGATGAAAAGCAAAGACCCAAGAAAAAGCCAAAAAAGTTAGTTAGTGATTTCATTTTACAAGAAGCAGAAGTTGATGACGATGCAGAAGATGAAGAAGAATGGGAAGATGGTGCCCATGAACTAGGTATCGTTGAAAATGAAATTGAAGAGCTGGGTCCAACTGCAAGGGATATCGAAGGCCGCAGAAGAATCTCTAACATGTGGGAGTAAGTATCAAGCATTAAATAAAAATTATGTTTTTTCAACAATAATCAACTTTTCATTCATATTCATCAGTTCACAAAAAGAGGAAGAAATTGAAGAATACCTTCGAAATAAATATGCGAGCGAAGCTGCTCATTCGAAAAGATTTGGAGATGGGGGAGAAGATATGAATAATGAAATAACTCAAAAAACATTGTTACCGGATGTCAAGGATCCTAATCTTTGGTTAGTCAAGTGTCGCATTGGTGAAGAAAATGCTACAATTTTACTGTTGCATCGAAAATACCTAACTTTTGAAGATACAGGTATGATTCATAAATTGTTATCAACTCATTATTCATTATGTTATAAAAATGTTCATTCATGTTAACAGATGAAGCACTTAAAATAAAAAGTGCAGTTGCCCCTAGAGGAATTAAGGGCTTTATTTATGTTGAGGCTTATAAACAAGTTCATGTTAAAGCTGCAATTGAAAATATAAGTACATTGAAAATGGGTTATTGGCAACAAAAAATGGTACCAATCAAAGAAATGACAGATGTATTAAGAGTCACAAATCGTGTTAATTTGAAACCTCTTCAATGGGTACGAATTAAAAGAGGACTTTACAAAGATGACATTGCTCAAGTAGACTATGTTGATGTTGGGCAAAATAAAGCTCACTTAAAACTTTTACCTAGAATAGATTATTTAAAATTACGAGGGGCATTAAGGTTGATGTCTGATGAAAAAGATGAACCAGTAAAGCGTAAGAAAAAAGGTAGCAGACCAGCACAGAAGCCTTTTGACCCAGAAGCAATTCGTGCAATTGGTGGTGATATTACAAGTAGTGGAGACTATTTAGTATTTGAAGGAAATCATTACAGTCATAAAGGGTAATTGTGAAGTTTAATACATAATTTTTACTTTATTACAATTTTAACCATTTATCTTTTTAGCTTTCTTTACAAAGATTTCAATTTAAATGCAATAGTATCAGATAGTGTTAAACCTACCTTATCTGAAATTGAAAGTTTTGAAGAAAATCCAGAGAATGTAAACCTTGAATTGAATCAAAATGATCCTTTTACAAGTCAAAGAGGAATTGTAACTCATTCATTCAGCGTTGGTGACAATGTTGAAGTCTGTGAAGGGGAATTAGCTAACTTACTTGGCAAAGTTATTTCTGTTGATGGAAATTCTGTTCAAGTTGCAGCAAATCATGAACAATTAAAAGAGCCAATAGAATTTCCTGTAAGGGAATTGAAAAAATATTTTGTCATTGGTGACCATGTCAAGGTATACACATTTAAGTGTAATTACTTATACAATATTGAAAAATATACAGTGAGAACTTAACTAAATTTGGTACTGATAAGTTAAATTATCTTCATAGGTACTCTCTGGCAAATATGAAGGAGACACAGGATTGATAGTTAGAATAGAAGGAAATCGAGCAGTTTTATTTTCTGATTTATCTATGCATGAGCTCGAAGTTCTTACAAGTAACTTACAGCTATGTCCTGACATTGCTACAGGCGTCGATAGTCTAGGAAAATTTCAATGGGGTGATATGGTACAAATAGATCCTCAATCTGTTGGAGTAATTGTCAGATTGGAGCGTGAAAATTTTCAACTGCTTACAATGCACGGTCGATTAATAGATGTTAAACCTGGGAGTATTTCTAAGTACAGAGAGAACAAAAATACCCTTGCATTGGATTGTCAGCAAAATGCTATTAGAAGAAAAGACATTGTCAAAGTTGTTGAAGGCTTACATGCTGGAAGACAAGGAGAAATTAAACATTTGTATAGAAGTTTTGCGTTTCTTCACTCAAAAATTTACATTGATACTGGTGGAATGTTAGTTTGTAAAACAAGACATTTGCAATTAGTTGGTGGTAGTAAAAGCGACTCTGTAGTAAACTATACTACTCCGATATTCATGTCACCTGCACGATCTGAAAGGTATACATTTTAATAGTTTTTAACATTCAATGAATAATGAAAAATAATGATATAAATTTTACAGAAGTGTAGATGAAAATAATGACAAAAATAAAGGCCGAAATTATACTCGTATCGGTAATTTGGGTCCTAGCCGCGATCGAAAAATTATCGGACATACTATTAAGATAACAGGTGGTCCTTACAAAGGAAATATCGGATTTGTCAAAGATGCAACCGAATCAACAGCTCGAGTTGAACTGCATTCACCCTGTCAGACAATATCAGTCGATCGATCGCACATATTTAGTATAAGTCAGCCTGATACAGCAAATCAAGATCAAAATCTTAGTACTCCAATGTATAGAGAATATGGGAAAAAAACTCCATCGCATCCAAGTGGTTCACAGACGCCTATGCATGGTTCACAAACACCGATGCACGGTTCACAGACACCTCTATACGAAAGTTCGTAATTATTGAAAAATTAATAACTTTAGTTTCATACTAGATAATAATTTGATTCCTTTTCATTTTAGCTGGCAATCGAACACCCTACTACGGATCAATTACGCCGCAACAAGATGGTTCTCGTACTCCAAACCCTACTGGAGCATGGGATCCTACGGTTTCTAACACGCCAGCTAGAAGCAGTGAATATGATGACAGGGATGGAAACAATGATAGTATGGAAGATGTCCCATTCTCACCATATCAAGAATCTCAAACATCTTCCATGGCTACTCCATACGATCCTGCTAACGCGAGCTTTGACACCCAGAGTGAAAGTCCTAGTGTTACACCAAATATAGATTTCCATTACTCCGAATCGCCGGCGTCACCCACCGGATTAACTGATGCAAGTCCTCAAATTGATTACTCACCATTTAATTCAACAGCGGATCAACCGTCATCTCCAATGGAAAATAATACGTCAGAAGTCAATGGTACTAAACAAAATTATAATTTCAAACTTCGTTGTATATTATTTAAAGGTACTATTTGTGTAACATATTTTTTGTCAGTTGCAGACAATAAAGATACCGAACCTCCATTTTACGGATCTCCTGCCTCTCCAGAAGCTAATGGTACTAAATAAAACTATTATGTTTAGTTTCATTATTTTGTAATTCAAAGTACTATACGTGTATAACTTTTTTTTTAATTGCAGACAATGATACCGAACCTAATTTTAATGGATCTCCTGCTTCTCCAGAAATGAATGGTACAAAATTAAACTATCATTTTAAATTTCGTTATTTTTTATTCCAAAGTACTATTTGTGCATCATATTATTTTCTGTTGTAGATCATAATGATACCAAACCTATTTTTTATGGGTCTCTTGACTCTCCAAATGTTAATGGTAATTAATTAAATAATTATTCTAATTTTCATTATTCATTTATTTCAAGGGACTATATGTGTATCATATTTTTATTGCAGGCAATAATGATACCGAACCTACTTTTTATGGATCACCGGCTTCTCCTGAATTTAATGGTACCAAATTAAGTCATAATGTCAATTTTAATTTTTTTTTATTCCAAAATAACATTTGTGCATTATGCTTTTTTTATTTGCAGACCAAAAAGACATTAAACCTATTTTTTATGGATCTCCTGCTTCTCCAGGCAGCTAAATTTAGCATACTAATTTTTTTACCTAAAAGTTAGGTATTTACTTTTTTTTATTATATTTCATTAGAAGAGAAGTTTGTTTCAATTACTTAGTCATTTATGTTTGTTATAAAAAAGATGTTATTAAGTATTAATTTCAAATTAATAAAAGTATTCTCTATTAAACCTTGAATTTTATAATTTGACGTACTAAGCTGAATTAACGAAAATGATCTTCATAAAAAATCTCAGTTTTTTTTCAAACTATAAGCTCTTTGTAGATATCAAGATGCCATTGCACTATTTATACTTAGTTAGTGATAAATAACTTTCATTGTAAGAGTTTTATTGGTTTTTATATTTTTGCATGGACTACATCTTTTTAATTTTTCAAATATCTTTGTAAGTATAAAAATGGGGAAAAGTTCATTACTGAAATCACTACTGAAATAGTAACCATCGTTGAACTTTGATTATTCACTTATTTTTTTATTTGTATCTCTATGTTATTGAATGGATTAAAGTATACTTTGTGTCTGAATCCGCTTTTTGAACGAGTATGAATAAGCTATGAGATGAGATTTACCAACGAATCAACTTGAATTCAAACTAATGCAATTCGTTTTTGAGGGGAAAACATCGGCAACGTTCGACAGTTTATTTTAATGGTAACTATGTAGAACATATCAATTATTTGACCATTGTGTCTAAAAGAAAAGTAATGAACACATTTTTTATTATTCGAAAGATTTAAGTACCAGGTGAGGATATATTTATTTTGTAAAATTTAATCTAAAAATGATTGAAAATTTGAGGAGTTAATTAATTATTACAGTTACAAAGGATTATTTTCGTCTTATCTACCTAATCAAGCTATCGTTGGCTTGATGTTGGATGTTGATGTGGTGGAGCTGCAGTTGCCAAGTTTCAATTTACAGTCAAGCTTTTAAAAGTCTATGATATTAAATTGTAAGTACATATCTTTCCTAATTAGAAAAATTAGAATCAACGAACATTATTTATGCTACAACAATATCAGTAAGGGCGGTAGATTTGTTTAAATTCCGTTGAATTTTATTAAACCCCTTGTAAATATTTATCGTGCCTGGGATCATTTGAGATTATGTTTCATATGATTCAGAGTTTTTTATAAACACTAATCTTGTAATTTTTCAAATAATTTACAATCATTTTTATTGCAACTATATTGAGAAAGCTGTGGAATCGATACGTATTTCGAAAATGAGACAATAATTGCCTATATTCCGATGTGGCCGTACGAGCAGCAGCGCGTCATTGAACGCGGCGCAATGGCAGTGCACGCGGCGATATATACGTTACGGCCTCTCGCTGCCGCGAATGCCCGAAATAATCTTTCTCTCTTTGCAACGCGATCTTTTTGACGTCAGATACTCCGCGCGTATAGCACTCTGTCTCTCTCTTCCTCTCTGTATGTGTATATAATAAAAAGGGGCAGATTTGTGCGAAACTATCGCGCGCGTGTGCAACGGAGCGCGGAGCTAAACGATTAAAACAGAGAAAGAAATAGTCGATCTTTGGAGAGAACGAATAATACTAATCGTTGCAAAGATTCATTGTCCATCGGATGCAGAGGGAATGCACGAGGCTTGTTTCTTTCGTATTAGCAATTATCGCCAACGTCATTCGCACCTGTTTTGCAATCGTTTAGCGAACTACATCGACGGCTCAACGACACGGGTCGATTTTTTTTCTCCAATTGAACGTTGGTAAAAATATCATACTTTGAAATTCATTAAATCATGTGTGAAGCGATAAAACATCATCGGTTTGCGAATAAGACGTGTTCATAAAGTTTATAGGTAGTCGAGCGAAAATACGTTTCAAGTTTACGACCTCCGCGTAATTTAAACTTATCCGCGCCGATCGCTCAAGCGAGATTTTCTCGGTTTTCTTTTTCGATCTTTTCGAATTTCAAAAAAAAAAAAAAAAAACTTTCTCAGAAACTCCTGTATATTGGAAATCGCGCCTATACACGATTCGTCTGTCGCAGTGGGGTCGTTAAGCGCCTCGAAAAATATTCAAACTTCTTTTCCGCCCACGAGAAACTCGACGCGCGTTTTAAAACGATTCTCGCTAGTTTTAAAATTACCTGCCTTTTTGCCAACGTTCTCTCGATCGACGCCTTTCGACGGATATAATACATTGAATTAGCAATGAATATTGCCGATATACAAGGCGCTCGATAAAGAAATTTTCTCACAAGCTTCGATATCGCACGCGTAGCTCATGGCAACGATCGACGCCAATTCGTCAATTCGCAGTCGAAAATCTCTGTGAGATATATTACTTATATATATCGCAACGATGATATTTGACGTATCGAGCTATGCTGCTCGGCACGCAGCAACAGCAGCAGCAGCAGCAAGGTCGCTATAATGCGCGCGTACGCCTGCCTTATTTTAAAATATCCCCCGCAGACGCGCCCGCGCGTGTCAGCGCTCTCTCAGTTACTGCCTGCTGCATGTCTGTAAAGTGCTGCTGCTTCATACGACGCGTAATATAGGTATATAGAAATAAATATACGCGTGTATGCGTGCAGGCGCTTTTGCCGCCACCAGCACAGCAATGAGAAGCCGGAGGAGACACGAGAGTCGTGCGCGCCTTTAGAGCCACCAGCGCGCAGTTCTTAATTGACGCTCGAATCCAACCGATCGGTCAACGTGCATATATAGCGTACATAAGTATATCCACCTCGAGTGATTTGCGGTGCTCGTATGTTTATAATATTTATACACGCGCGGTTATAAAGATTCAGTGATTTTGGTATGGCTCGTAACAGCGTTGCTAAATAGTGTGCCTCGCGATATCTATATTTGTTCAAATATTCGTCGCAGTGAGTTATGAGTTGGATTGACGAAAATGACGATGATGACAAACGCCGTGTACCAGACGACGACCGCTGCTAGTCTTCGAGAATCCAGCGCGACGGCTACCAGACATCGATCTCTGCCCTCCTGTCACGCCGACATGGGCATTCAAAGCACCGTCCAGTTCATCGAGAAGTACGGCCACCATAAAGCCTTAGGTAAAAAAAATCGACATCTGTGTCCATTTTCTTATGTGTTTATACACTCGCATACATTTATAATAGAGAGCGTGGCCGATATTTGCGAAAGTAGTTTTCGCGCCGCGCGCATACGGTACACGGTAGAAAGTTATGCGAGAATATTGTCATTGTTCGCGAGTCGCATCGCTGACCAACATCGACACCGCAGTTGACACTTAGCTGCACACGCCTTATGCCGTATATGCAGCAGCTGACAATCAATTGGAAAATTATTTTTTCACTTTCGAAAACGATGTGCACACATACCGATCTCATTATTGCATTATGCAAATGACATTGTCTCTCTTCAACGAAGCTTTGGCTAAAAATATCATTTTTGACGCGTGAATGAGAGGACGGGAGCAATAAAAAAAGTACTTTAGAGCTTTTAAATTTTGAAAAACTATTCGACGAAACTTATTGTCTACTTTGTTTACGATACACGTGTGTTAAGTTTTTCTGCGACGATCATGAAAGTAATTATTTCGAATCGTCGGGACGTGCCAATCGTTTTGACAATATGCTATATGAATTGTTATGTTTACAAGCATACAATGAGAAAAATACGTCAAAAAATACTATGTTCATAGTAATCGTGATACATTAAAAATTTTCATTAAAAGTAATATTCATAGTACATTTTGCTACATAACATAATGCTTTTTATGAAAATGTTTGGTTATACCCCCGATTACTATCAAAGTATGAGTAATCTTTTCAGTGTAGTAACATAGTAGATGTCATGCGTATGCAACTAGAAGATATAAAACTTGAAAATTATGAAATTCTCTTTGTGATCGAGAGCTATTGTTTTCTTCTTTTTGTCTTTAAATATCGTCAAGTCGTGCTTTGCAAACTTAGATACATGAAAACCTGATCGATTTAATTGTAAAGTTAGATCTATATTGTAATTAATCGATTTTACTTGAAGATGAAGATAACACGAACAATGAAATTGGAAAATTAACCTTTTCACAAAAAAAGTTATTTTTACGTTCTAATATACAGATCATTACATCACGTTCAATTTATTTTCATCTATGACTATCCCTACTCGGTGTCAACGTCCGCGACCAGCCGAGATAGTTCGCTCAAACTTTTCATCCTTTTTTATGAAAAAATACTCGTGCCTGAAGCCATTAGCTTTGACATTGATTTTCTGGATTGTTAAGTCAGCTCTTAGAGTAGATTCTGTAGTTTACAGAGTTTATTGGTAATATAGGATTTACATAATTGGCTAGTAAATTTTCTAGATATTGCGATTATGATATTTGAGTATTTCTCATGCATATTGTATTTACAATCTTTATAATCCAACAAACGAAACGCCAAATTACGATTTTGACATTTTAATTTAACCGTTACTACTATTAAATTTTGCAAACCAAGAAGTAAATTTTACGAAAACTATTAGATCCTAATATTTGTGATCAGTAAATTGTTGATACATATTCAATTTTGAAGGCACGTGTTTAAGATTTTCTTCTTCAATTGAGTTGGATACGTGATTCTCCGAGAAAAGAAAAATGAGAATTTTCAGGAAGTAAGGTAAATTCTCGAGATTAATTTGATGAATATACTTAGTTGCGCGTGTATTCCTAGAATTTCTAGCTCAATTTTACAAACATTTGACGAAGTAGCTTTTAAATCATTTTTCATAAATTTCTTTTGAAATATCATCAGCCGATATCAGTATCGGCAATCTATAAATAATTTATAAATATTTCTTCTTATTTTATTCTAAGTTCAATATTTATTTTTTGTGAAAATAAAACTCAAATGCCCCGTTTGATTCTTTATTAAAAGCAATAGGACTAATTTTATTATCATGATGATATTGAATAATTAAGAAATTATACTACTAATCACACATAAAACAATAATATGAAGACATTAACTAGAAGTGACGGGGTTTCGTTGAAAATGATCGCTATACCATTCATATTTTTGAAGCAGCGGCAAGAAGCCAAAAGCAAAGTAATATGATTCGCTCGAATGGGACGTGCTTTTACTATATGCCATTATAGAGCGGAAAAAAGTT